AAAATATAGCCTTCGAACCCGCCTAGGCGGGTTCAAGGCCTGTCTACCTCCCCGAACGAAACCTTGCCCTTCGGCAAAGCCTCGTCCGGGTTCCTCTCTGCTAATGCAAAGAGTTCGACAGACGGTGATGACAGTCAAGGACTGTCTGCCACTGTAACTTAATACAGCTACCACTATTTATCGATCCCCCCACGAGGATTGAATGTGGCACAAGGCCGAGTTTATGTGGGTCTTCCGAGCCAATCAAGTACCACGCCTATGACGGCAATGTTCCATTTTTGGTCTGATTTTGCGTTTATTTTATTTATTTTGGTTTTTGGTTTCATGATCTTCTGACATATTTCAACTAACTCCTGAATTCCATCCCCAATGATTTTTTTCTGTTCTCACAAAAGAACTGTTCACCATTTCTTTTGCATTTTTCTGAGGAATCGGATTTTTTTTTAAAAGTTAAAGACAGACACAAAAAGATCCCGCTTTGCTGTTTCGTTCAATTGTTTATAGAGTAATAAATTATATTTCAGCTTTCTTTAAACAAACAATATTTATTTACTTTATGTAGTTAATTTGATTTAATAAATATTTAAGTGAATAAGATTTTAAAATACGAGTTGTTTATACAGTAAGTATTTTTATTTTAATTTTCTTCAAACAGACAATTTTTTGAATCTAAAATATTTTGAAGTTAAAGACAAACACAAAAAGATCCCGCTTTACTGTTTCGCTCAGTTGTTTGTAGAGTAATAATTTATACTTCAGCTTTTTTTAAACAAACAGTATTTTAAATATTTAAAAATATTTTGGGGGATATTTAACAGATATTTTCAAGTGAATATTATATAAAAATCTTTATTTTTTGGCATATTAAAATTAATTATTTATATTTACAGTGTTCTCAGTTTCTTTTCACTTTGAGTAACCACTTGCGTCTTAGTAGCTTTCTCGCCTTGCTTGTTTTGATATAATTAAAAATATACGTATGCCAGTCTTGAACTTATTTTATTTTATTTTTTGATTTGACTCTGTTTTCCAATGCCAGGATAAATATAATTTGTCCATTTTGAATTCTTCCTCTTTGTATTGATACGTTACCGAACAAGATAAACATTTTTAAAATTAATGGATATTTATTGCATAAAAATACAATTATGGCACAAGGCCGAAAAAGGGGAGGTGTTGAGGATGGTCTTCACTAACTATCTTTTACCTAGCTAATCCGATTCACGACCCATTCACTCATTACAATTTGCCCATTCACCATAAAAACTCGTCCGTCACCAATCAATCCTCCATACACCACAATACCGCATCCTCTCCTACAAAACGCGCCCCATGCCCTAAAAATTTAATGATAATAAACTATATATACAATTCTAAAGATAAAAAATGAGAGGGAAGGGAGATGAACCCAATATCAAACTAAACATGAACACAACGTGAACTAAACATAACTGCTGTTAGTAAGGCCCGTCCAACCCTCAAGAAGGAGAGAGGACGCTGTATTCTGCCCATGGGACAAAATCAAAAAGCCCTCTTGCTAAGGGAGTGGGAAAGGTGAAAATATAGACAGACATGCGAAAGAAAAAGCTGAACCAGTCGAGATGAAAGGGGGCCAAAAACAAACTGTGGAGGTTGGAAATCTCAACTTGGATAATAACCAAAGAGGCAGCCGAGAACAACACTCACATTAACTAGGTACACAAAATTTTTAAAATTAATGCTTGACTTATGATTGTTTCGCGAGTTCCCGACGTCATATGCGTGTTGGAATCGGATCTGGTTTCTCATTGGTTCGCGAGACCGTGACGTCATATCTTTGTTGGAAACAGATCTTATTTCTGATTGGTTCGCGATGCCGAGACGTCACATTGTGTTACCGTTCCGTCGTTGGAAACAGGTCTTGTTTCCAATTGGTTCGCGAGGACGCGACTTCATATTCTTGAAAACAGATCTTGGTTCTGATTGATTGGCAAGGTCGTGAGGTTATATCCATGTTAGAAACAGATCCTGGTTTTGAATGACTCGTGAAAATATGACTTCACTGCATAAAATCCAATTGTGGTAAAAGTCTTCCAAATTTTGGTTCATTTTTGGCAATGATAAAATTTTGTAACTGGAACTACCTTGGCAGAAAGAATTATTCTACCACTATATTTCCCCTATTATGGGCATTATCATATCCGTGATATAATAACATCGTATTTCACCGATGGAACGGAACAACTGAAAAGAAAATGCATCACAATGCTTTGTTCTCAGAGAGACTTTGATATTACTAAGACGTGCACAAAAGCAATGCCGCGAATATATGCGTATATACACATGTTCCACGCAGAGAATAACACATGTGTAATGAAAAACAAAAAGGAAGGATTTTACATGTAATATAGAGATCCTCTTGTACCTAGAAAAGCCATGTTTACGACTCCAGATTCAAACGGACCGGATTCAGCTCTGTCCCAGACGAGGACGTATTTCATCAACGGAAAACAGCGAGTCT